TAGTAGAGACGGGGTTTCACCATGTTGACCAGGATGGTCTCGATCTCTTGACCTCGTGATCCACCCGCCTCGGCCTCCCAAAGTGCTGGGATTACAGGCTTGAGCCACCGCGCCCAGCCAGAAATAGGTTTTTATAGCACATATTTATGTGTATTTGTCCAGATCTTGAAATACTGACATTTCTTCATTAGGTAATTCTATAAGTGTTTGAAAAACTGCTTTTGATTGATTGATCAGTATACAGTAGTAATTCAAATTGCCAGTGAGTTCAGTTGTACCTTCAGTGTGTTTGTTTTAAATATGTGACTTTGCATGTTTTAGGGCATCACCCCTTCAAACATGGTGTATTCCTTTTAGAAGGGGAAAAAAAGCTTGATATGATGAAGAAAGCCACCCAAAGAAAAGAGAAATCAGGCAAGAACCAAGCAGCTGAGAGTCCTTTTGCATGATTGTCCATCTGTTGTACTCCTCTCCCCTGCTGTTGCTGTCATATGGTCCAAAATTGCCAAATCTCTGTCCTGGATGATTGCAACAGCCTTCATACTAAGTGCAGTACAAAGCCAGGTATACTTTAAAGTATAATGTATGTTCTCCTACAGGCTGTTCTCCATGTTACAGCGAAAGTGATTTTTTGGAAATATAAGTCAGATTGCTGTTCCTCTGCTTAAGACCCTGTATGGGGCTGGGCACAGTGGCTCACACCTGTAATCCCAGCACTTTGGGAGGCCGAAGCAGGAGGATCACCTGAAGTCAGGAGTTTGAGACCAACCTGGCCTACATGGCAAAACCCCATCTCTACTAAAAATACAAAAATTAGCCGGGCGTGGTGGCAAGCGCCTGTAGTCCCAGCTACGTGGGAGGCTTAGGCAGGAGAATCAGCTGAACCCAAGAGGCGAGGTTGCGGTGAGCTAGAGGAAGTATGGCGAGATCACACCACTGCACTCCAGCCTGGGCAACAGAACGACATGCTGTCTAAAAAAAAAAAACAGACTCTGAATGGCTTCTTATTTTTATTTATTTATTTTTTTTGAGACGGAGTTTTGCTCTTGTTACCCAGGCTGGAGTGCAATGGCGCAATCTCGGCTCACCGCAACCTCCGCCTCCTGGGTTCAGGCAATTCTCCTGCCTCAGCCTCCTGAGTAGCGGGGATTACAGGCACGTGCCACCATGCCCAGATAATTTTTTGTATTTTTTTAGTAGAGACGGGGTTTCACCATGTTCACCAGGATGGTCTCGATCTCTTGACCTCGTGATCCACCCGCCTCGGCCTCCCAAAGTGCAGGGATTACAGGCGTGAGCCACCGCGCCCGGCCCTTATTTTTCTTAAAGTTGAAGCCTTTTATAGGAGCTTATAGAGTCCTACGTGTTCTGCTCTTCATCCCCCTCTGCGTCTCTGACTACATCTCCTGTATTCTACCTCTCGCTCCATCTTTGCCAGCCACATCATCCTCCCTACTATTTCCCAGACCGGCTAAGGACACTATATTACTAGTATTATTAAGACAGAGTCTCAAAAAATAAAATGAATAAAAATTTAATGTGTTTATGTATATATATATATATATATATATATATATATATATAGAAACACAATTTTTCCTTTATTTTAATAAAGACCTGGCTTTTATTTTCAACTAGTTGACATTATAACCTGGGAAGAATGAAGAAACTTCTTGCTCAAAATTGTCACATCATCAGAGAGACTTGTCCCCCTCAAAAAACTACTATTTTTAAGGGTCAGTTTGTTAAATACAATCATATATTCATCATATATATAATATACCAAGAGTTACATACTCTCCTATTAATATTTTTTCAAGGTGTCATGCTTGGAAATTGCCTATCTATTTGAAGCAATTTGTTTAATTAAGGACCAGGTACCTTCTAGAACCCAAGTTTTTTAGCTCTTTTGAGCATGAGCCATAGCAAGAAATGCGTCTTTTACTGTAACCAGAACAATGAAACAAACAATACATGTCTGTGTAGATTGACATTATAGCTTTAGTAAGCATTTCACCTAAGGACCCCTTTCCTGCTGGTGGTAATGCTCTGATAGTTTCTATCCTGGTTGTTTTTTTCTGAATGCTTATTACAAGCTTTTAAATTTATTTCACAGCTCTTTAAAGGGCTACAGTTGCTAATTTGAAAAACTGTTGTGAAAGGCCCAACTTAACTACATTCAGAGCTTCAGAAGGAACCAGTATATAGGCCTTTCTGCTTGCTTTTCATCCCAAGTGATTCTTGCCACCTTCAAATTTTATTATTAGCCTCATCCTGGATGTACCTGTCCCTTGTACAGCTTTTCATCTTCTCTGCAAAATTAAAATTTTCTGTTCTTTTCCTACTTCGAATTACTTATTTGGAAAAGATGTTTTTCTTCTAGGACTTGGCTTAAATTCTCACATGAAAAAGTCAAACTGGGGTTCATTTATTCATTCAACATGCATTTATTGAGCATTCACTGTGACAGGCATAGTTCTGGACAGTGGTTATAAAGTAGGAAAGTGTAAAATGAGTATTATGTCAGAATTAGAAAATCCTTCCCTCATTGATGCTGCACTGTTGTGGGAAGGACATACATTAAACAACCAGTAACTTAGTATGTCCAAGTGGTGAAAGTGCTGTGAAGAACATAAACAAGTTCAAATTACCAGAGGTGAATTGGATGAAGACAGGATTCATTGTTTTTCAATGGGTAATAAAGCAGGCCTCACTGGTGAGCTGACATTGAGCAAAGACCCACAAGACATGAGGAACCGTCCATATCGCTATCTGGGAAGAGTTCCTGCCTAAATATAACACCTGCTGTGAGATTGGCTTTCAGAGTATACACTGTGACATCATCTTTTCTTCTCCCCATCTCCATCTCAGTTGTGAAAGATTGGAGCCTACTTTTTCACTTTTTTTTTTTCCTGGAGGTCTGAATTACTGCTAGATCTTAAAATAATGTATGTTATCAGTTCAACTTTTTTTCCCTTTTGTCATCACGTAGGACACTTGCCAACAGAAGCTAAAGTTTCACCATCTGCTTATCTGCTATATTTTAGTCAGCATGTGGTTAGATAGTTGCTCCCAGGCTGCAAGTCATGTTAACCATTCCAGTCACCCAGACATTGAAGTAACTTTCCAGTAAAATGACCAAGGCAGAGTTATGTAGACACCATTTAACAAATGTCTGCGATACAAAGGAGGAGGCAGCTTTTTTTTTTTTTTTTTCGCCTGACAGAGTCTCACTCTGTCACTCAGGTTGAAGTAGAGTGATACAATCGTGGCTCACAGCAGCCTCTAACTCCTGCATTCAAGCGGTCCTCCATCTCAGCCTCCCAAGTAGTGGGAACTACAGGTGCATGCCACCACCACATCTGTCCAATTTTTGAAAAAGGTTTTCAGTGGGGACAGAGTCTTGCTAAATTGTCCAGGCTGGTCTTGAACTCCTGGGCTCACATGATCCTCTGGCTTCAGCCTCCCAAAGTGCTGGAATTACAGGTGTGAGCCACTGCACCCTGCCAAGAGGCAGCTTTTAAATCACTATTCCTGAAGAGAGGGAAGTAAGTTTTTCCCCTGTAAAAATTTCTTTAGAGGTACTTCTTTCCACTAAACTTTTGTGGAAGAGTTCATTTAAAAAATTATTTCCAAATATTTAGATCTCTTTGTACAAGGTTAAACATTTTGGAATATTATTAAGGATAAACCTTTCAGAAGACACATTTTAAATGTAAGTTATATTAGAAGTGGTCAAGAGTTTATAATAGTTGCCAACTCATTTAATGTCTATCAACACAGAAAAATAAGTATATATGTTTTGCAGAATTTTCAAGAATATGGTTGACCCTTGAACAACATGGGGATTGGGGACACTAATTCCCCTCACAGTAAAAATCCATGTACAGTAAAAATCCATGTATAACTTATGACTGCTCCCTAAAATTTAACTAAAAAGACCTACTAATAACATAAACGGTCAATTAACACATATTTTATATGTTATAATGTATTATATACTATATTTTTATAATAAAGAACTAATTATTTATTCTTGCAATAGAGAGAAGAGAAAATGTTATTAAGAAAATTTTAAGGAGGAAGATGAGGGATTGGTCTTGCTGGCTAAGGGATGACAGAGACGGAAGAAAATCCATGTATTAAGTGGACACATGCAATTCAAACCTGTGTTGTTCAAGGGTCAGCTGTTTGAACATGTAGATATAAATATTTCAGGTTATTTAATAATTTGAATATGTAACATGAACCTAAACTGCAAAGTATTTTATTATTTTCTTGCTTTCCCTTGAAGTTCTTGTTGATTCATATTATCTATGTTTTTTTAAACTTTTAATTGTGTTTATTTATTTATTTGAGATGAAGTCTTGCTCTTGTCCCCCAGGCTGGAGTGCAATGGCGTGATCTTAGCTCACTGCAACCTCTGCCTCCTGGGTTCAAGCCATTCTCCTCCCTCAGCCTGTGGAGAGGCTGGGATCATGGGCACCTGCCACCACGCCCAGCTAATTTTTGCATTTTTAGTAGGGACGGGGTTTCACCATGTTTTCCAGGCTGGTCTGGAACTCCTGACCTCAGGTGATCCACCCGCCTCAGCCTCCCAAAGGGCTGGGATGACAGGCATGAGCCACTACACTTGGCCTTTTAATATTTTTAATAGAGAAACATTCTTGCTTTGTTGCCCAGACTGGTCTCAAACCCTGGCCTCAAACTATATCCTTCTGCCCTAGCCTCCCAAAATGCTGAGCTATACAGGCATAACCATAGCCTATGCTTTTCATATTTATATAATTTACTATTTGTTATTCTACATTGACTTTAAAATTCAGTGGAAATGGCAGTACAATTTGTATCATATTATTAATTTTTAAAATTAACTCTGACTTCTAACTTGTATCTCACTTAGGAGACTTGGTATGGTCTAATGCCTAGTAGATAGCATCCAATTAGACTACCTCTTGATTTCTCTAGGCATGCAAATCAGAGATCATGATACACAGTGGAAAAGACAATTACACAAACTGGATCGTCTCTGGATTTGTTAAAATCCCATGCTCTCTCCTAAGTATGACATCTTGAAAACTTTAAACAGAGACTTCAGTTTTCACATCTCTGAATTCTCTGTCCTTACAGCAGACAAGATCCACAGTGAGATGGAGGCAGGACCACATGAAGAACTTTCCTGGGGGCAAATCTGGAAACAGATTGCAAGTGATTTAGTCAAGTATGAAGACTCTATGATAAATATTTCTCAGTTCCCCAAACAAGGTGATTTGTCCTGCCAGGTTAGGGCAGGAGTATATACAACTCACATGGAACAGAAGCTTTACCAATATAAGGAGGACAAAAAGTCCTTCACTGATGCCTGCAACTTTGACCTTCATCAACAGTTATACCCAGGAGAGAAGTCTCATACATGTGATGAGTGTGGAAAAAGCTTCTGTTACATCTCAGCACTTCATATTCATCAGAGAGTCCACATGGGAGAGAAACGCTATAAGTGTGATGTGTGTGGTAAGGAATTTAGTCAAAGCTCACATCTGCAAACTCATCAGAGAGTCCATACTGTAGAGAAACCATTCAAATGTGTGGAATGTGGGAAAGGCTTCAGTCGTAGATCAACACTTACTGTGCATTGCAAATTACACACAGGAGAGAAACCTTACAATTGTGAGGAATGTGGGAGGGCCTTCATACATGCTTCCCATCTTCAGGAACATCAGAGAATCCATACTGGGGAGAAACCATTCAAATGTGATACATGTGGTAAGAACTTCCGTCGTAGATCAGCACTTAATAATCATTGCATGGTCCACACAGGAGAGAAACCATACAAATGTGAGGACTGTGGTAAGTGTTTCACTTGTAGCTCAAACCTTCGTATCCATCAAAGGGTCCACACAGGAGAGAAACCTTACAAGTGTGAAGAATGTGGTAAGTGCTTTATTCAGCCTTCACAATTTCAGGCCCATCGGAGAATCCACACTGGAGAGAAACCATATGTATGTAAAGTGTGTGGTAAGGGTTTCATTTACAGTTCAAGTTTTCAGGCCCATCAGGGAGTCCACACTGGAGAGAAGCCGTATAAATGCAATGAGTGTGGGAAGAGCTTCAGAATGAAAATTCATTATCAAGTACATCTGGTGGTCCACACAGGGGAGAAACCCTATAAATGTGAGGTATGTGGAAAAGCCTTCCGTCAGAGTTCATATCTTAAAATCCATCTGAAAGCACATAGTGTACAGAAACCTTTTAAGTGTGAGGAGTGTGGACAGGGCTTCAATCAAAGCTCACGACTTCAGATTCACCAGCTGATCCATACCGGTGAGAAACCGTACAAATGTGAAGAGTGCGGAAAGGGATTCAGTCGTAGAGCAGATCTTAAAATTCATTGTAGGATACACACAGGAGAGAAGCCATATAATTGTGAGGAGTGTGGGAAGGTCTTCAGTCAGGCCTCACATCTTCTGACCCATCAGAGAGTTCACAGTGGGGAAAAACCATTTAAATGTGAAGAGTGTGGGAAGAGCTTCAGTCGGAGTGCACACCTTCAAGCCCATCAAAAAGTCCACACTGGAGAAAAGCCATACAAATGTGGGGAGTGTGGAAAGGGCTTCAAGTGGAGCTTGAACCTTGACATGCATCAGAGGGTGCACACTGGAGAAAAGCCATATACATGTGGGGAGTGTGGGAAGCACTTCAGTCAGGCCTCAAGTCTCCAACTTCATCAGAGTGTCCACACAGGAGAGAAACCGTACAAATGTGATGTGTGTGGTAAAGTCTTCAGTCGGTCTTCACAACTACAGTATCATAGGCGAGTTCACACTGGGGAGAAACCTTACAAATGTGCAATATGTGGTAAGAGCTTTAGCTGGCGATCAAATCTTGTAAGTCATCACAAAATTCATGCTGCTGGTATATTCTATGAAAATGATGAGACTAATAAGAATATCAGATAATTGTCAGAGAAAGGAAGTTTGACAAGGTGATTAAAACAAAACAAAACTCATGTACAACCTGAATGCTTGTAATCAGATTTCAAAGGAGACAAAAATTTTCTTTATCAGCTTCCTTGAATTTATTTGATTTGTAATGCTCCACATTTCCATCTAGACATTTTTTTTTTTTAAACTGAGTCTCATTCTCTTGCTTATGCTGGATGCAGTGGTGCAATCTCAGCTCACTGCAACTTCCACCTCCTGTTTCCAGCGATTCTCCTGCCTCAGCCTCCTGAGTGGCTAGGATTATAGGCACATGCCACCACACCCGGGTAATTTTTGTATTTTTAGTAGAGACAAGGTTTCACCATGTTGGCCAGGCTGGTCTTGAACTCCTGACCTCAGGTAATCCACCTGCCTCCGCCTCCCAAAGTGCTGGGATTATAGGCATGAGCCACCACACCTGGCCTCCATCTAGATTTTGAAATGATTGCCTTCTAATTACTGTAGCATTCTCTTATTTAAAATATTTGTTTTACTTAAGGCAGTGTTTAAGCAATAGCTCGACATATCCCAGTGGTCCAGTGACCACACAGCTGAGAACCGTTGTTAAGCAGTACAATAAAGAATTCTGTAAAAACTTTGACATTTATGGGATGTCACCTAGGAAACAGGACTTAGAAAATAGGTTTGACCTGGGCTTTAAAAAAGTATATTGATGAAGGTGCCAGAATTGATGTCCATTAGACTGTAAGCTCCATGGGGGCAGGAACTTTGGGGCTGAATCTATACAACCTTAACATTGACTAGTGATTGTAGGTGTGCTCAATACTTGTTTGTTAACTGAATCAAAAGGAGTAAATGTACAATATTTGAACATTGTACCCAGAGGAAGAAACCTGCAAAATAAAATTATTTGGGGGAAATGAACATTTGTTAAAATGTAGAAAACCACTAGATACTGCATTCTACAATATTAATACGGTATTATATTACCCTTTTACAGTTGACACGTGTCCTCTCTCTAATCTCTCTTCTCAAATTTGGTTCTTATTGTTTGAGAGCCTGTTAGTTTCCCCAAGGTTGTGTAAAACATAAGTTGAAGTACCTTTATTTTTATTTTTGAGACAGGATTTTGCTCTGTCACCATGGCTGGAGTGCAGTGGTGCAATCATGGCTCACTGCTGCCTTGTCCTCCCAGGCTCAATCCATCTTCCTCGCTCACCCTCTGAATAGCTGGGACCACAGGCACGTGCCTCCACACCCACCTAATTTTTGTATATTTTGTAGAGACAGGGTTTCACCATGTTGCTCAGGCTAGTCTTGAACTCTTGAGCTCAAGCAATCCACCTGCCTTGGCCTCCCAAAGTGTTGGAATTATACGCATGAGCCACTGCACCCGGCGAAGTTGAAGTATCTTTTGTGATTTTTCTGACAGTGCAGACGAAAAAAAAAATTAAGCTGACAAGAGATTACTGAATATTACACCAATGAATTTTTAATCCATCAATGTTAAGGCAGGGGTTTACTCTAACACTTTTTTTTTTCCAAGATGGGGGTTTCACCATGATGGCCAGGCTGGTCTTGAACTCTTGAC